GCTAATTTTCGGAACAGGAAAAGAAACCTTTGGAAACAATGTGTATAAATCTGAAATTGTTCTGTCGTTATAGAGCCGTGTAATGTTGCGCCGATCATCTTCTGGTACTATAATCTAAATGATAAAATAATTTTATAACCTGAAATTATTCATACAGATAAAATTTTCATCATTTTTATTAGCCTAGCTTTCTTAGTATGCAATGAGCAACTTTTCAGTATATCAGATGTTAAACCAATACAGTTTGTCCTCAGTGTTTTTTAATTTTTCTCCCTTCATATTTGGTAAATTTTAAATTATTTCCTTTTTAAAACCGTCATCCTATGATTTCATTTTGCTTCATAACCATTAGCAAGGGACAAATTATCGCTAAAGCATTACTCTGAATGATAGAGCTAAAATTATTCGGGTATTGCTATGGAACAATGACAAAGATATCAACAGCAATTGTTAATGATTATTACATTTAATCATTACTGTTTAATCATTCACATGTAGTATTACTAACTCTTCTTAAAGAGTATCATAGTCGGATATAAATTATGACATTTTTGAATTTCTTCGAGTTACCATATCTTATAATCCATGACATTTTTATTGTCATTTTAAAAGTTAGATAAAGAAGATGAACTTTTTCTTTGCTTTTTTCATTCCATAAATGCTCATATTATTAACTTTTTTTTTAAAAATGAGAAAGTAATATCAACGTGTTAGTAAACTTTTTAAATCAGCAACATTTTACCTCAGCAAATTCCGTTTCAAAGTAGATAAGACTGTTGAGATCAATGACTAGCTGTGATAAATCATAAGTAACATTAGCATCATCCAATAGTAATTTGATTACATCAAGCTGATATTTCTTGTATGCATCCAGCTGTTTAGCAAACATGGTTGTATTGAGGTAATAATCCCGCGAGCCACGACCTAATCCAAGTGCTCCTTGGTCTAACTGAAATTTGTTTATTTGGAAAAGAATCAAACTTAAAATTTAAATTAAAACCAGAAACGTTTACAAAAGTGAATACTGCCCAAATTTAGAAATACAATTTCAAAATATACTTCCAACAGATTTTGGGCTTTGAAATTCAATAAATTACGGCTTAAAATTTTATTAGTTTTAAATAACTTCCAAAAAAAGTTTTAGGGATTTTTTTAATTTCCAATGCATGCTGTTTTATAAACAAATTTGAAAGCTTTCTTTGCAAAAGTAACTGCACTAAATTTTGTTATAATTGAAGTACACATTAATTTTGTTTTTCATTAATTTGAATAGAAAGAAAAAAAACTGGGCGAAAAAAACAAACATATAAAATATTCCTTGTTGTATTTTTGGCATCCGCGTAAACATAAATTTGAAAAAAAAATTTCATTTCCAAAATATCGACGAGATGAAGCCAAGATATAAGTAAGATTAAACGAATTACCATCCCATTCATTATTGTTATCCAATAATGGCCAATTAGCTAATTGACGAAGTGACGATAACAGTTGTCTGAATATAACTCTTTAACTGATAAGCACAAGGCAAATGGTATAACGCATTAATCGTTTTGACAATAATGCTTTCATTTATACTTCAAAAAATGAA